TTAGTCTACGAAGCATCGTCCCTTCACAGCCGTGCCCGGCAGGCGATTGGGGCGAAAAGCGAGGCTCAAGAACTATCTTAGGTTTTCGACCTCGACCTTTATACTTAAGCGAACAGAAACCTGAGGCAGTGGCAAGGTACTGTTCAGCGATCCTACAAAAATGTGTGTAGACATCATTCACTTGAGGGCTGATTTCAGTAGAAATCTGAAGTGCGAGCTCGGGCTGGGAGGGAATGACTTCAGGAAATCGAGCAGGCTTACGAATGCGGGGAACAAGCTCAGAGAAATTCGGAATATCGAGTTGCAATGCGATAGGGAGGTGACCAGGTAAACCACTATCTTCAAGAGCGGAGTAGGAGGCAATTGTTGCCGCCGCTGCTTTAGTTGCAAAGGCTACGTCAATCCTGCGAGGCTTGCCGTGCGAGGGAAAAAAGTAGGCCCCGATCGGGCTCCCAAATAAGACCATTAGCATGTTCTTGAGAAAGTACTGGACTTTCCTGAGGCTCAATATTAATATCACCCAGGATGAGAACCGGGGCATCAGGTCCAAGTGCAATAACTATCTCAAGCAGATCATGAAGAAAGGACTCATTTATATAGCTCGGCAACAGTTGAGTGACCATACTGGCCAGTGAAACCATAAACGGAAAAAATGTGAAGTAGACTTTTACAATTGCCGTACGCGGCGACAGCACGTGTCCACCTGCATGAATGAAACAACATTTTCCGAATAGGGCCATCACCAGGAGGGATGAACTGTAAGGGTATATGCGAGCGGGCGACTATGGCAACACCGCCCGGTCGACCATTAAGGCCAGTGCTGGAATGAAGGGATGATTTTGCAGCACGAAAAGGCTGAGGCTTACCCCAGACAGAGTTGAACCCATTCTTTTTAAAAAAGCCGAGTAGCCTTGTTGTGTTTTGGACGTGTGGCGGGTCTCTTGAATAGCAACAATATCGAAGGGAAGTTCCAACAAAGAATCCTGTTGCGAATTGAAACTAGTGATGTTAGCAGACATGATCACCCAAGAGTCAGAACCTGCTACAGAATTACATCTGGCATCAAAAACAGGAGCTGCAATACAAGACGGATCAAGCTGCTTACTAACACTTGAAGACTTCTCAGAGGAAGCCATTGCGATTTCGTTTAGAGAACACTGAAGTATATGCACCGAATCATAATGTGTGGAACCGTCGTACGCGACCCAGACAAAGTCACCAGTTGCATGCGAAGGTGTGATTATATGTATACCAGTGATTGAGCAACATGGATCGGGGCCTGGAGAAGCACCACAGCCGCCGTTAAGACCAAGGAATCACCCCAAGTTCCAGGCAGTGCCATTGCTGTGAGATAAGCATTGATGTCTTCATCTTCCGTAAAAAAGGAAGCGAATGTATTGATATGCTCTCGAAGATAATGCAAGGCGAAGCTCACGATGAGAGAAGGCACAATGTGCTGCAATGGCATCAGCTGGCACCGAGATTCGTTGCAAACCACATTGGACAAGGTGGGCATCAACTGAAGACCACACATTCTGCTTTCCATGTAAACGACGCCGAGGAGCACCCCCTCCCCGACTTCCACGAAGCATATCCGAAGAAACAGTTGGCAACATAAGCGGTGAAGCGTCTAGCTTTCAATGCGAGATTCCTTTTTTGGACCACCCTTGTGCGGCGTTTGCATAGGTTCAGAACGCTTTGCACCCTGGGCTGGTGCATTAGCAATGGCCGGCGCGGAGAGTGCTTGAAGCTGACTGAGGACCTGACTAAAGCCATCTTCCAGACGGTGTGTCAACCTTTTCTCTGTGTCAGTACAACAAGGCATGAGATCATCTCTCAGTTCGCTTCCTGGAAAGGTGGCTGGCATGTTTTGCCGCAAAGGCAGATCATCTCAGGTGATGGAATGACCACCTGGATCCTGCTTGCTGAAAATTCTCCACCGGAGCAGTACTTTGAAAGCAAGAACTGCCGAGTCTTAATTCAAGAAATCACACACCCGGCAATGGACCTAATCCAGAGTATGACGCTTGGGCGGCCTACTTGAAGCAAAAGTCGCAACCGACTCTTCGTACCTCAAAGCCAAAGAAAATCGATGTACCTGTTCGCTCCAGATGGATTGACTTGCAACTTGACATGCTGAATGTTGAGGGTGACTTGAAGCAGCTGTCACCGGACGACTTTCGCACCAATGCCTCGGGCATTACACTGCTTACTCGCCAGCTTTTTTGTGAAACGTGCACTGTTCGGAGCAAGTCTCCCCTAGCTGTTGTCCTGCCAGGTGAAAATAACCGTGACTTGATTGCAGCAGGCTTGAATGAAAGCAGTCTCATGGTTACACATGTTTTGTTGAAAGATCCATTGTTAGCAGCGTCGGCCAACCGTGCCACGGTTTGCGTCAGCAAAACGAGGATCAGAAGAAGCAAAAACTTTTCTGGCATTCGCTACTTCATGTGCTTGTACTCTGATTCCGAAAGTCCCATTGCTAAAGATCAACCCAAGATGTGAATCAAAAAGGTCTCACCAGAGCATCTGCGTAGGTGCGTTTTGGGAGCCATTGGAAGTCCCCAACCGACAGAAGACGAGTGCACGTGAGCAACATAACAACAAAGAAGAACAGCATCAAACGTGTCACAAAGGAACGAAAGCGACGAACCATGGTGTTGGGCCTGGACACCCGGCTTCGACGCCACGCACGGACAAGTCTATATCGCCGTCCTTCGACACGACCTGCGGCAACAATGATACGGTGCGAGAAGACAGTGTTGGCTAAATGCCAAGGTGCAGGACCGAGAATGCAAAAGAACATGCAAAAAAAGACAGGCGAAAGGACTCGAGAGAGCCGGCAAAAACAGGGACAGACAACCCCTGACATCTAAGACGTCGGAGCAAAGCGGCCAAGAGCACAGCAAGTCGGACCCAAGGGTAGAAGTGAAAGATAAGATGCGAAAGGCTGCTGCGAAGGAATGCCACAGAACTGGAAGACAGAACATGTGCACAAACCACTGAGCAATGGTAAAGCCATCAATGACATGATGGACAGCAAAAGAGGCAATCTCAAAAACATTTGATATGTCTTGGGCAAAGTAATTGAGATAAGCAGTTCCTGCAATGATCATGCAAATCAAAAAGATCAGAAACGACAATTCGGCAGTGGACTGAAAACTGCTATTCAGATCCTTTGTAGACACTCTCTCTTTGCCACTAGATGCAAAGCCAAGAGCCATAGACTCTGCCAACTCGTTCTCAAAGGCTCGCAAAGGAGAAGCAGTGTAGCCGTAGCTTGGTAGGCTTCCGTAACCTAACAAAGGGCTAACCGTCGCTTACGCCCCGGTGTACGATATGGACTGCTTTGCCACGCAGTCTTTTATTGCAACTTGTTGATATTGGTTCGGCGGAAGGGTCAGGAACATTATCGCAATGTCTGACCATCCACCTGTTCAGGTAAGATCGAGATACAGTCTTTTGACAGAACTGACACTTAGTAATAGGAGGATCGAGTTGAGAAATGTAATGCTGCTGTTTGGATCTGGCATTTCGATCAAGTGCATCAATCTGTTCTTATAGAACTGCAATGCGGGTTTCTGAGAGATTTTGCGCACGAGTAGTGGAGCTAGATTTATCAACTTGGTTAGAAATGGCTGGGCGTTGCTGCTGCGCAAATTTTTTAACGCGTGGTATGCGTGAACAGATTTTTGACAAAAAAACGTATTTCGGGTCATGACTATCCACAACATTATGACGTTTTTCGGTACGCGCCGTCAAATTTAGAGCTTGCAACCTGAGTTGAATGTCCTGATGTCTGTCCTTGGTTGAATGTCCTGATGTCTGTCCTGAGTTGAACGTCGTGATGCCTCTTCTGAGTTGAATGTCCTGATGTCTGTTCTGAGTTGACTGTCCCGATGTCTGTCCTGAGTTGAATGTCCTGATGTCTGTCCTGAGTTGAATGTCCTGACGTCTGTCCTGATGAGTTGAACGTCCTGATGTCTGTCCTGACTTCTGTCCTGAAAGCGTCTTTATGGTTCTGAATGGAAAGGCGCCGTGTAAACATTCATGACCAAAGGCTAGCGCCAACTTGTTTCGTATTGTTTCGCGCCAACTTGATACGAGACTATACTAGTCAAGATTAGCAGCAAGATGCTTGCGAAAGTCATCTGTGGCAAGCCCTCCGATCACCATCTCGAGCACCCATGGTCTGCCCTACCGGAGTGGGAAAGCGGGGAGCAAAGGTGCCCACAAAGGCTTGGAGGAAGTGAGTGTCCAAGGATGCCAACTTCGAAAGGGCATCACAAAAAAGAGTGTCTTTCAAGGATTGCCAGTCACCACAAGCGTGAAGCAAGGAGACGAGGAGAAACACTTTGCGATCTCCCAAGGATGTAGATGCCAAATGCCCTTGACGCGGTCGTCTGAGACACCACCGGACGAGCGTCATCCCAAAGCTTCATAGCATCCACCATGCTGGACAGACAAGGGTAGCACCACACTGAAGGTGTTCAACTGGCTCAAGGCGCTTGCGATTGCTGGTCAGAGCAGAACCGAACCCTCTAGGGCGCTTAAGGATCCGGGTGAGCCTCACATCAATGGCAAGCTTAAGGTGGTAGTCGATGGCATAACCTCACATTGCTGTTGCTCCGCCTGACGGCGCACTGCTTCCTCATTTCCGGTAGCAATGTGGTGAACGTTGTTCTGGATAAACTGGACATACGCATCAACTCCTTCAGAGCCCAAAACCATATCTTTGGGCCGAGGCTGCCCTCGGCGGCACCGGACACGGCAGAGTCGCCTACAAAGACCACGACTGAATGCACATCCTCGGAAGTAAGCTTGGCAAAGGCTATGGCTGATAACCTGTGCTCAGGCCCAGCCTACCTAAACACGTCAAATCGGCTAAGCTATGCAGATTTTTTGAGTCGCAACGCTGTAGTAGGCTTCGGAAATTGGCACTGCTGTGAAAAGATATGTATGGAGCGGTGTATTTCACCAAAAAGAACAGCCATTGTTCTTGATAACTTACTAATGACACTGGTGGTGTCCATCGTTTTCCAACACACCCGTCACATGTAGTAGTGTCTTCAAGAAGTCCAAGTAGCGATCGAAGCAAACATGTTCAGTACATCGTAAGAAAAGGTGGCGAATGATTCCATTCCATGAATGACAGGTGTCCCTTTGACCTTGTGGCAAGGGAAGGTCTCTTAATGCGAAACTTCTGGGTGAGACAAACGGAACTTGGGTGCACAGATCTGAAATTGATAGTCTCTGCTGTAGCCAAGAAATGGTGATTTCAAGAAGGTCCAGGTCGCGTCCTCTTATCTATACACAATGGAGAAATCTGCTATATCAATCAGTATTATCAAGTATAGAATTAGAAACAAACTAGGTCCGTGGAACACGTCTTCCATCTCCAACACCCAGTGCCCATGCAACTGCATATGTCCAGTTTGTGTTTCGCAAACTTACCAGTTCATCAAGTTCCAAGACTCCGTTCTGGAAGAGCATGCCAGTGATTGCCACCTGAAGTCTGGAATGTATCTATTTCTCAACCTAATAGCAATGGCCTCCAACATCTCCAACCTAATAGCAATCGCTTCCAACCCAAAAGCGATGGCCGTCAACCAAATAGCCATGGCCTCCAACCTAAGAGCCCATTGCGACGGCCTCGAACCTAACAGCGATGGCCTCCAAGTCAGTTGCTTTGTTCTGTTCAATAAAATGTCATCCAAAACGTCAGTGGGCACGTAGATCATGTAGATGGCACCCAGCCGAACAAAAAAGACGCAAAACCCAAGCGTTGCAATATCCAGGGAGTCCCAGCGCTATGCACTATGCATTTTGTAGAACAATGCGAAGCAACCTCTTTGGAGGAATCTACGTCAATAAACTGGATCAAACTAGCAATGCCCTTTGCTCCTAGTAGCGTCCTTGCCCCTACTAGAAAACCAAACTGTTCGGGTCCAACAAAAATTGGATTCCCACTCGCGAAACGTGAATTTGTGTTCAAAGTTCCAAGCGGTGATAGTGATAATCATATCCAAGAGCCAACCCTCCTTCAAATTCTGTCCACCCGCACCTTTGTCATTAAAAAGAGCCCCTCGTTCGTCTGGGTCCTCATACCATGGCAAGGCGACCGTTTGCCAGCTCGCTGTTCAGCTTCCTGTTCAGCCCAAGTTCCACCCCGAACGTGTGTGCCGAACGCAGGACATCAGCTGGGTAAATTTTTATGTAATTTTCTGTAACTGGAGCATTCACTCGATGTTGGTGCAAACAAGTGCAAAGCGTCATGGTTTCCAATATGTTTATCATATATGAATATATATGATAAATGTTGATCAAACATGATCAAACAACATCATTCTCGTTTTTTTGGACCATAATCATTCCCAGTTGAGAAGGATTTCTGGATTCGGTGTCCAGAGCCCCACCGAAATTTCAGGATTCGGTGTTCACCTGGTAGCAGTTCTCCCATCCGCGGAGCCGCGGAGCGGCATCAGCAACGAATGGCAACAAATGAACAAGGGACATCAAGGGACCAGGGATGTCAAAGGGCACTGGATTGGCCATACGCAACAACGTCTTGCGCTGAAGTTGAGGATTCAAGAAACCGTGCCTTCCAGGATTCCTAGCCGAGAAGACAGCAGACTCCACCGCCTCTTTTTCCCACTGCCACAGGCAGTGTTCTGATACCCCAAGTTCTTGACAGCCCCGAAACAAACGAAGAACGCGATCGTCACTGTACCGGCCACGGTTGACCCAAAATTGATGTTTAAGAATCCATCCAAAAACCACCAAAAAGGTTGCCACATGCTGCCAGAAAAGGAATCAAATCCCAAAAGACGAACACAGTCACCGAAAAGAACGCCCCATAAATACATAAATTACAGAATGCACACTAACCACACACAGGTCATGCGAGAAGATGTGAGTAGACTTGGAGGGGCGGCACTTCCTGCAGTGTCGTGTGGCTGTCAGGAGGGGCCTGTACAAAACCACCCAAATCAGCGTGGCTGTGTTGGGCTTTGCCCGATCAGATCCTTGGCAACCCAGGATCTCTTGTATACGATATAACTACTAGGAACAAGAAGCTACTAGGTGGAGGCCATCGCTATTAGGTTGGAGGCCATCGCACTAGTAAAAAGAAGCTATACTAGTACAACTTGTAGACATTACCCTCGACAGGCAGATCTGGCAACTGCGCTTCGTCCACGACGGAGCGGAGCAAGACAAGGGCGCGAAGCGTCTCCCGAGTCGACCGAGGAGTCGGTCATCTGTCAACGAAGAGACAGGTCAACCAACTACAGTTCCAAGCAGTGCAGCCTTCATGAACTGACGTCAGAATCTTTCCGTCTTGATACAGCGCCCCATCTCACTGCGACCCATGCGATTAGCAGGCGCAAACCGGCTCCGATGCCGAACCAAGGCGCAAATGCGCAACACGTCACTAGAAGGGCCGAAGCTGAAAAACATCTGTTTAATTGCTGCCAAAAGCTGCTTGAACAATCTTCAACATCCTACTGGATAGCTGTAATCCCCTCTCAGCCTTATAGACATAGCTCACAAATACTTCTTTCTTCCTGGCACCCTCTTTATGGGGCCTTAACCGCGCGCAACACGCATCTCTCCTTGCCCTCGCCTCTTGCGGCCCTCCGCGTCGCTCATGGGACCACTGGCGTTGGGCACGCCCAGAATCCCGGCGTTCCTGGCGCGTCCGAGTCCGCGTCTTCTGCGCCGGAACGCGTTTGAAGGGGGACGGTGTCGGAGTCCCGTCTGGCTCGGAGTTAGGGCGCCGTCCTTCGGTTTGAGTTTTGGGACCTTTTCGGTGATGTAAGTGAGCTCGCTTTCTTCATACGGTCACATGCCACCCCAGCAGTAGACTTACTGCAACGTTGGTGGTTCATGCAGTGAAGGCAAAAGAACGCATATAACAGAAGTCAAAATAAGTCAAAACTAAACGCTAACAAAAGAAGTTAAAAAATGTTAAAAGAAGGCAACATCATGTAACAGAAGGTCAGGCGCAATCACATGCCGAAAAGTGCGCGTTGACCACTGAAAAGAGGTAAAGTAATGTAAAGTAGGCTGTGAGAGGGATTGTCTGCCACCGGGATTGTGTATCCTTGCTCCTGGAGCTGGTTTTCAGCTGGGGTGTTCCGTTTTGGAATTTGTGAAAAAGGGAGTGGAATCGATTCCGCGAAAAGACACTGCAAGCCCCGCCCCTTGGACAAGACCCGCCAATTGGAAGTGGACACCTTTTCTTCGAGTCTTCCACTCAGGAGAGAGGTGGAGAACAGAGAGAGAGAGAGAGAGGGAGAGAGCGGGTAGTGCCGCTGTGGGCAGTTCCTGATCCAAAAGAACGGATCTTTGACCTTACAATATCTTACCGTCATCACAAAACATTGCCCTGGTTGGTTGTATCCCTTAGTCATGGTTGCACAGTTCAGAGATCTGCTAGGAATCAACATCCGGGGCTTCTTTTTCGGGATGAGCATAACCCAAACATGCAAGCCTCCGACAGATTTCTTTGCAACAAAGCAGCTCCGACAGATCTGGATTCGTCTCAGACTGAGTTGGATTGTTCACCACGTGGGTTTCATCCAGCTTCCCACAGTTCGGCAAACAGGTGAAGACTTTTCTTTCCTTTACAAACACCGCTGTGACACGGCGAATTCCTTCCGAATTCGATTGACCCCGTCCAAATGATCCAATTCTTCTTCTTCTTCTTCTTCGGCCACCGACCGGCACCGCCGACCGGCACCGCCGACCGTTCCCGGACAGGTGCCCCTCCCCAGGAGAAGTGGGTTCCCCCACTCATAGTCCCCCGGGTCGCGAGAGTCATCCGCCCTGGAGAAAGCGAAAGGAAGCCAAAGGGGAAAGTCAAAGGATTGGAGAGCGAAGGAGTCTGCGATTTCTGGAGGATTTCTGTCATTAGTCAGATTTCTTGGGAGTGTTCATCTACGGTTCAACTGCGGGCAGGTGAAGAGGCTTGGACTTGCTTCAGCCGACAATCCTGAAACAACTGGCTCTTGACATTCATTCCAGAAAGTGGACGCCTCGTGACGCCTCCGTGTTCCGCTTTTGGTGTTGGCAACTCTTACAGGTTGATGGACAAGATCTGCAAGGAAACCAAAACATATATGTCTATTGGTGTCTTTGAGCTTTCTTGATCAGTGCTGGAACTCTTCACCGGTGCTAGATCGATAGAGGAGTTGTCGGTGGCCAAAATGAGAAGGACCATGAATGGTCATGCGAATCCGCACGCATCCCAACAACTCACAGGGCTGCCTTCTCCCCGTCTTCCCACCCCATGGTTATCCGGCTTGGAGGCCTTTGGCACAACCCTGTGCCATGCTGTGCCTGTAGAGGCCAAAGTCCACCATGCCACAGAAAAGGAAAATCTGGATCCAGCCGGTCAAAGGCACCTGGAGCCAACATCTTGGAGAAGAACACATACAAATACATGTTTCGCCCAACACGCACACACTTGTCACATCCACATCGCATGCGTTGTATCATGTACATAGTTATACAGTACAATATCTATGTCCACCCAAATCTGTGTCATTAAGGTTGCCCTTCTCTTCGTCCGCCTTGGAGAGCGCCGCCAGGCCGTTCGGCACATCCGCAAACTTCAGACCCTTGGCGGGCCTCAGGAAAGCGCACGGTACGAAAATCGGGTGTTTTTGGGGCGCTTTTAGGCGCTTTTGTGCTTGGAGAATTAGGGACGGCTGTGCTTATAAAAGAATAAGCATCAAAGGCAGGTAAGCTGCACTCTGGTATCTCTCGTGGATGAGAAAGGCAAGTGCCACGCCACGCTCACGTCTCTTAGTCTCTGGTAGCTTTGTTTGGTCGGGTCAAAGGTTGCTCCAAAACGATAACGATCTGGTGCTTCTTCATGGAACAGCATCCTGCTCGATACTTTGTAGGCAAGGTAGACCCGGTCCTGACCTCTATAAATATCTATTAAATTCTATTAATACGTGTTCTTGCCTCGCTGTAAGTAGATCTTTGTAGAAACACCTCCAGTGTGGCTTCGACCGAACCTCCGTGGCGTACGTGCCGTTTCGCTTCAACGACAGGCTCGGTGAATCGCATGGCCAGCGTGGCTGGTGTCTGGGGCGCACACGAGAGGTAGCCAGGGAAGCGGAAGTACTCCGGCAGGATGACTTGGCAAAGAAATTTGACTCTGCTGTGCATGCATGGGCATGCTATGCTCTGGGCAAACTGATGGAACACTTGGGTCATGAGTCATGGGTGATTCGTTTTCATCCCCTTTCACCATGTTCGTTGACCATCTGTACATTCACAGTGATGGGGGAGAGTGAGGAAAAATCGGGCAGCTGCGACCCCTATATTTGACAGGATGGATGACTTAAAGCCTTCGGCCATGACTATGCATGGCTATGGTGATAGATTATTCATTATTCTTCCAACAATACACACTACGGATATTATGAGTATGGAATCTTTTTGCTTCCGTCTTTCACAGGCACAGGCGTGAACGTGCCTCAATCCAACCGGCTGGCTCGATCTGACTTGGACTTGGGCTCCGCCACTTCCGCCAGGTGGTCACGACCCCGCGTGTCTCGGCACCAAGTCCCGCCCCGCCAAGCTGCAGCCCATGGTGGCGAACATTGCCACACGGCCGTTCTTCAGCTCGCTCTCGCGGCGGCGGCGGAAGGTCTTCACGTCCCCGTCCTGGTCGTCGGATCTGGTGTGTCACCCAGAGAGTGCTTGACCTGTTCTTCTGGTACGCCCTGCACGGAAAATTCAAACCCATGAAATGAACCAAGACGGTTGAGTGGACGATCCTACTCTCCTGCCCATGAACCATTGGGCAGGGCTCACACTGAGATGATATCAGATATCTGATTCACACCCAGAGACGAGCTTCTCCGTCGTTCCGGTCTCGCCAGTTGTCTGGAGTCTTGCGTCCAGCAAACAGCCAAAACAAACACACACTCTTTTCACACCAGTCTAGTGTCTTCTCATGTGAGAATGTCTCCCGTTCAAGTCAGCTCATCTTGAGCCACACCCAGTGAATCCCAGTGACAGCAACAAGCCCTTGTTCCCCACTCGCCCGTGCTCACCCTGCTGGCCCCTCTCCATCCTCTCCTTGGCCAAACCCATTGGATCGAAGTAGCCCACAGGCGCCTGGCAGAAATGAGTTGAGATGGCGTGAGAAAGGCTCGCCACTCGAACTGGAAACTGATATAAACTGATGAACTCGTCTGGCAGCAACGTGACAAACATGCATTGACTTAACTTTAACATGTCTTTGCACAGGATGTCCTTTTGTGCCGACTTTGGCCAAGAATTCGCCCGTTGGCACATACAAGCATGAACATTCTGCAACAGCAAAGGCATGACAAAACATGACAAAACACATAGGAAACAGCAAACTTTGAAGGACTGTGTCCTTGCAGTTTGGCTGTTGCCAAAGACTGAGCCTCCTGTTCCCCTCCCCTCCATCCTCTGCGCTCCAAGTTCAGAATACAGAACCCACCTGGACACCCAGCTCATTCTCAAAGGCCCTCAATGGGGAATCCGTGTAGGCAGCCCAATCGCCCCAGGCTGATCCAGTCAAACCGTCCTGCCGGGCTCGCTCGCTGTGCTCTTCATCCCCAACCAGGACGCTTTCCCGACATAAGCGAACTCATTACACGAGCGACTGCGCGGTTGTTCCCACGGCCGCCATGAAGTAATGTTCCTACCCATGGCCTCCAAGCTAGTAGCGACCCCAAAACTGACCAATCTCCTGAAAGAACATCCCAATGATCGCCATCATCGCCTCAGAATCCGCGGGGACTCGACAGCACATCCGAGATCCGCCAGACCCTGGGGATCGTCCACTCCCGGACGGGTGGCATGACGATCCGTGGTGGGATGACCTGGGGTTCTTTGGGACGACTAGGGAAGGAATTCCATCTGAACTCTTTTGGACAAGAGTTCTTTTGTAAACGTTTCTTCAGAATCCCGGGGAGCCTTGGAGGATTGTTGCGGTGAGAAGCAAAAGATCTCTTAGTTTCTGAAATCCTCTCTTCTGCCATCAAAGCATATAAATTTTGTTATATATATATATATATTCATCCATTGCTCGGACTCGCCAACATAGAATGGGAAATGATGGGAAATGCCCTCCTACCTAGGACAGCAGTATCCTCGCCTGTCCATCATTGTCCCTTTCCATGGCTCCGAGTGGAAGTGTATCCCTAAAAAATGAGTTCTTTGTCTTCTGAGACTCCTCTCCGTCAGCGCAACATTTCCACGCAACAAAGAAATCCGTCCGCTCGAGGCTTCGTCCAGTTGTCACAACCCGTAACGAACGCTTCCGTCCAGCCGCCAGGCGCCCGTTGGCGAGCTCGGAGTTCAGTTTGCGGTTGCGGCCCTCACCGGGTACCATCGTGCTGCCGTTGGGCACGCCCAGGACACCTGTGAAGGAATTCCGAAGCTGCTTTTTGGTCAAGCAGAGAACAAGTGCGGGGAAACAACATCCGACGGTGCAGAAGCTCGAATGAGCTGGGATGGAGGACCGATGGATTTCGGGTGACTCAAATGCCCAAACTACCCGAGTGCAGTTGTGTGTGTATTTTTCTGTTGTTTTTCGGAGCCGAATAAAGATTGAAAAGTTCACTTAGACTTAGAAGGCAAGTTACAGACCACAATCTGGTTATCACCTCGGCGGAGATTGATATCATCGTCAGTCGTGAGCCAGAAATACGATGCGACTGACTGATTCAATTTTGTTGGAGCAAGCCACGAACTTGCACATCAACTTTTGCGCAGCACCAGGAAGCCAAAGACCAAAACCGAGCTAAACCGAGCCTCATGTGCGAAATTTGTGCATTCGACCAGGTGGGAACGAGGGAGACCAAAACCACGCATTAAACTGGCCTTTGAACTCCACACCCGCTTGATCCTCCCAAAAAGCTGTGGAACCAAAGCTCTTTCGCCGCCACCCCGCCCCCAACCGCAAGCTCTATGGCCGCCTGCGCTCTTGTAGTCTCCGGGGGATCGGGTGGGATCATAGGTGTAGATCCCCTTCTCCACCAGACCGAGAAAGAGGAAAATCTGGGTCCAGCCAGCAGCTGGCACCTAACGAGGAAGCCAGACAGGCTGGACACAGCAATGCAGCATGTTAGTGTTGCAAAGGGGACACTCAGTAGGTCCACGTACATGCAGGTCCACAAGCCCATCGAACATCTCTATTGATGCACCGTGTACGATCGGCCAAGTTCGCAGGGTCCGTTCGTGGGCGGCGCTCAACTCGATACATGCATCTAGTAGTAACAAGTGCCACGCTACTAGGAACAAGTGCCTTACTAGTAGTAACAGGTGCCTTACTACTAGTAACAAGAAGCTATTAGAATTAAGTTAAATTCAAAGTAAATTAAGTCAAATTAAAATATTTACATCAACGGATTCAAGAGATTTTCACTCGGACCCTTGGAGGGTGCCCAATTCATGGATACGAAAACATTAAGTAGTTTTAAAATATAGCACAATTACATACAATTCCTAATTCGAATCTTGTGTCCGCTTTTGTTTGCGTCAGAGTGGACCAAAAGCTCCGAAAAAGGTGAATACAATAATCATCTCAAGCTGGATCTGTTTTCCAAGCTGGATCTAAAAGTCAAACATCCGATTGTGATCGATCTCCAGCCCCAAATAGGCCCCAAACATCTCTCACATTAAACACATATCATAGCAGGACAGGAACAAAGCCATCTGTGCTTCCTCCGGACTGTTCATGTCCACCCACGATCATCCTATTTTAAAAACAAAAAACACCATCTTGATCTCGCAGAACTCCGAAAATATGGGACTGCCGCTGCCCTCGCCTTGCCCAATGCAGCCAAGCCATTGGGCACCTCTGAGAACTTGACCCCAGCGGTCGGGGAGCAGTATCCTCCAGCGCCCAAAGTCGCAGTCGACAAAGAACATACATTGTGGGTTCCCTCAATTTTTGGGATACACCCATGTCCAAAATCGATTGAAAGGAAAATAGGACGGCTACTATGCAGCTGTGTTGTTCACCTCACCTTCACCACGGCTGTCTTTCTACCCCCCAACTGAGCTAGCAAGAATGTGGAGCTCCTGGGAAGCGGAAATATTCCGGGACAATGTAGCCCATGGTGGCCAACATGGCCACACGGCCTCAGAATGGCAAAGGTATTACAAGTTGAAGGATATAACACATAGGTATAGTATAACATGTCCACACATGTCTGATCAGTACAAACATATAAGCATTCAGCTGGAATCTGCCTGTTCCCTGCTCCTCACTGGTTGCCTCTTTTCAAGGTTTGCCCTTGCCACCAGAAGCACCACCACGACCACAATCGATGCATTAAAAAAAAGCAAACAGTTGAAGCGTTTGATTCGTCCCCTATCACAACCGTGTGGGAGAAAGACAGCCGGAAAGCAGCCCCATAGAAGAACCGAGCAGCATCAGGAACGTGGCTTTTGCGTGGGAAGTAGCCCCCCGAAGAACCCACGGGTGGCGCCGCTCCAACGATCAATCCGAACCAAAGTTCAAAACCTATCAAAACAACTTTTTCCACAACCAGAATCTCAACACATCCTTTTTTTGCGAGTGGAATCCGACACATCACACTCACCAAAAGCTGACCGGTAAGCAACAGGCTGGAAGGTTTGGGCTAATGAAATCGGGCGTTCTTTTTGTGCTTAGTTATGCTTACATGTTCTTTTGATGCGGTTAGGAATGAAATGGGGTCGCACACCAACCGGCTGGAGGTAGGAGTCAAAAGTGGCTTGAAAAGGTCCGGTTCCGATGTGAAGCTGAACACCTTGCATGGCAGGATCAGCTGCCAGGCGAGCATGCACTCATGTAGAAGGTCGACAGCATTCTAAAATGCGAAAAACATGGTGCGATCCCAAATGCAAAAACAGCCTGCATGTGACAAATCAGACACACATTTGTCCAATGAATCAGAAAACCATGGAAAACCTCGAGCACAAAGCGATGAAAAGGACTGAAACACAGCATTGGAAACTGGAGACGTGGAGACCAAAACCCCCCAATCGACCAGAGACGAAAGGCCACACGTCCAGCGAGCAGACTGGGCGAGAAAACTGCACCACAGCACCAGGTCACTAGCACCGACAAGGAGGGTTTACGAAGAAAATTATCCCAGATCAGCAAGTAAAGGTAGCGCAAACGCAGAAGCAACAAAAGAGTCCACGACACAAACAGCTGCCATGTGCTGAATTTGACTATCCGAAGAGTGGCACAAACAAATATGGCAAGAAGCCTATGGCTCTCTGGTTCTTGTGTTCCTCGTAGGTTGTGCAAAACCCATGTTTCTACAACCATCTTCACTGGAATAGACAGCCAGGATACTCTATACATGTTGAATATGTACAATTACAAAGCTATGGTCTCATATGTGCCTGTCTTGTATCGACTCCTGGATTGACATCTCACAATCCATTGATCCAACCACTAGTAGAAGGTCTTCGATGTCTCTTAATCCAAACTCTTGATATATAAAACAAGCCATATGAAGAGTTTGTTCAAGCTAAGTGGGACAGTTTTATTCATCTTCTGAGTCGAATCTACGATTGATTTCTCGCAACAAACGCCACATTCCTCGCCCAGGTGCCGTTCTTCAACTCGGTGGCACGGCGACGCTTGAAGGCCTCCACGTCTCCGTCCTGCCGCGCAAAGCTTGGCGCGGTCTTTTTGGCGGGGGACCGTCCGATTGGGGTTCCCCATCTAAGTGGTGTTTTTTTCATTTCGGAAGATGAGATGACCACTCCTGGCCTTACTAGGAGCAAGGATGCTACCAATGGGGCTCCTGGCATCGCTACTAGTAGCAAGAAGCTACGAACGGAGCTCCTGTTTTGATGTCAATGCTGCTCAACATCCGTCCCGGTCCGTCACACGGGGGAAGCGCGTGGAATCCCGCTCTCCGCTCTCCCTCCTTGGTCAAGCCGAAGGGGTCGAAGAAGCCCAGCGGTGCCTCCGGTCCGAACGAGCTCCCGGCAGTGCTAGTTGGCTGTGGCAGACTTGGGATCGGTGCTGTATGCGTTGTCGTTGTCGTTGTCGTTGTCGTTGTCGTTGTGGTTGTGGTTGTGGTTGTGGTTGTGGTTGTGGTTGTGGTTGTTGTTGTTGTTGTTGTTGTTGTTGTTGTTGTTAAGCCTCTTTCCAGCCAAGAGCACTTGGGATTGCTCTGACGACTCATTCCCGCGGAGCTCGTACATGAGCGGCCTCCCTGGCGGCCGAGCGCGCTGAACTGTGCTGAGCGGAGCTGCTACCTTTCTGGTTCGTGGATTTCTCCCTGAATCAGATCACAGCGGCCCTGGATGCACATTCGTGTTGCGGGATTGATTCACATCCTTTTGCTGTGCACTTGGTCCCTGGAACCACCGTCCCAAGTCGGTGGACTGCGGATCCCTTCGGCTAGATCTAGATTTACTAAGACCCGTAGTAGAGGTGAGGGTTGTGACACGGCCATGAGTGTCACGGGAGTAGCTCGAACTGACTGGACACCCCACACATATGCTCTAGCTACGAAAAAGTTGCATGGCATCACGCCCAATAGACAAGACCATAAACTAGTCTCCAATCACAAGCGCAGCTTCAAGCGAGCTGTTCGTAGAGCTCAAATCGAAGGGTATGCATGGTTTCGTGGCAAATTGTTCGATGCAAAAGCTCTTGGTACTCGCATTGAACCGAAACGTGAATCCACCTCACCTTCCCTGGTTTCTTCCTCTCACCAGCCACGCATTGACTTGAGGAACCGCCTTCATTTCTTCAGCTGGAATTGCAGTGGCTTGAGCCGAGCAAAGCTGGACGAGATTCTCCTGTGGGCCAGACCACAACCCATACAGCTCCTTGCACTGCAAGAAACCCGCTGGCAGGAAAGCAAGGAGTGGTCAGACGATACCTGGCACTTTGTTGCAGTTGGGGGGCTTCCCCGACAATCTACTGGGGTTCTTTTAGCTATTCGGAAGACCTGGTGTTGTTTGGATCAGATCTCATGGCGAAGTCTCTGGGATGGCCGACTGTTGCATCTCCGCATCCACTTTGACCGCCCACTTGATGTTCTGAACTTCTACCAGAAAACCTATCAGAATAAACCCCCAGACCTTGCACACCGACTTGACGTCTTTCGTGCCTTGGATAATTGTCTTTCCTCCCTTCCGACTAGGAACAACCTGATTCTGTTGGGTGACTTTAACACCAGCTTGCCCATGCACACACCCAACGTAGGAAGTACACAGTTCAGAGGTCGAGCCGGAGTCCTCAGTGAAGGACCTGCCCAAACGGATCAGGCACGCCTGCTGGAGATACTTGTCCAACATGGATTATGTGCACTCAACACGATGACCCAGGCTCTCCCAGCCACCTTCTATGGACCTAAGGGTCTTGGATCTAGGATTGACTTCGCCTGCACGCGCCTCAAGCAGCTTGACCATGAAGCTAAACAATGTGCACCCATTCCGAGCTGTCCCTTGTTGGGCACCTCCACTCAGGGACATCATCCCCTGATTGGCTCACTGTCATTGACTTGGAAGCCTTGGTCCAGTGCTGCCCTGAGCAGCATTAGTTATGCACATCGAACACGAGGCCGCCTTGCTAGGTCCCAGGGTACGAAAGAATGGACGGACTTCCAGACTAGGACCTCTGCCCACCTCACACGGACTCAGTGGCCCGAAAATGGCCAATTTCGATCCTTTCACCAAGACCTTAATGACATTTTTGTTCATTCCTTTTCGACCACGGCCGATAGACTCTGCCATCTTGGGCAGGTGACTTGTCTGGCGACTCGGAAGTGGGCGCTGTATCGATTGATTCGCACACCTCGTTGCCTTAGTCTCGGTTCGGTGTTCGAGTACTGGAAATGGATCACCCAACATCGGTGCCTCCATCGTGAACAAAAGACCGCCTCGACTCAGGCTCGACAGAGTCGTATCGATCAGTTCCTGTCCGAGGCACGGGCGGCTGCAGATCGACAGGATCTAAGTAAACTGCATCAACTGGTTCGGAAGGTCAGCCCCAAAGAAAAGACTGCCCGCATTCAGATTCGTTCTGCAACTGGTCAGATTCTCAGTCCACTCGAAGAGTTCACGCACATCAAATGCTTTGTTCAAGCAACTTGGCATGACGCCCCACTCCCACTGCTTCCGGCACTGGGGGCCCCAGGTGTGCCATTCAGTGCTGAAGACCTTGAGAGGGCTTTTGCTAGGCTTGCATCGTTGAAAGCCAATGCGCCCGGGACGTGTGCATCGCTCAGCATCTTGAGCTGCCCAGCCCTGTGTGCTAAGAAGCTGTTCCCCCTTCTCATGCAATGGTGGAACCAACCTACCCCGTTTGTCCCGGTTGAGTGGAAAAATGGTCACCTGTTCTTACTTCCCAAACCTGGTAAACCCCCTAATGATGCTAAGAATCTTAGGCCCTTAGCACTCCAGGACGTGTTTGGTAAGGTGGTGCTTGGACTTGTTAGCGAGAAAGCAAGACACTCGGTGCTTCCCCTAATCAGTTCGACGCCTCAGCTGGCATACCTTCCGTTTCGGGGTACAGCTGATGCTATTGCAAGAGCCACGCAGCATTGCTTGCTGGTGGCGCAACTAGCGCGGCATGCACAACGACCTGTGGAGAAGCAAGCAACTGGAATGGTCAGGCACTCTCTTGTAGGTGGTGCTCTTCTCAGCTTGGACTTGAGTAAAGCTTTTGACAGTGTTTCCAGAAGCCACCTGTTTCAGGGTATGGCTGCTCTTGGGGTACGACCTGATTGCTTACACCTGTTATATGAATGGCATAGAGGGACTCACTACGACATTAGTCACAAAGGCTTCTCCGCATCCGTCCCAGTGTATAGAGGGGTCCGTCAGGGCTGCAAGGCTGCTCCTTTCCTCTGGTGCTGTCTCACGACGCTCATTCTGAACAAACTGGCTGAGTGCGCATCATGGAATTGGGTCACCCGGAACATCACCATCTATGCAGATGACTTCTTGGTGCATCAGACCCTCTTTTCTTTGGATGATCTGAACGAATTTACTACTAATTGTGGGATACTTCTGGACATCCTGAAAGATTTCCACCTTCAGATCAACATTCAGAAATGTTTTTCCATGGTCACACTACAGGGGATTGCGCAGAGGAAAGCACAAGCCAGGCATCTCAAACGAACCAGTCAAGGCTGGCGTCTTTGTTTTCCACGCACAGGTATGGGGCCTGCTCTGGTTGCTCTCCACACTGTTGTTCCGTATTTGGGGATCAAGCTGTCTTACAAAACAATGCAGAGCAGTTCACTCCAACATCGACTACAGTGTGGGCTCCGTGCGTTCCGTCGACTTCGAACATGGTTCTGTTCAAAAAAGGGACTCACCTCCAGGCAGAAAGAATCATTGTGGAGTTCAGTGGTTCGGACAACCACTTTGTACAATCTACATGTGGTTGGATGCAGTGCCGCAGGGCTCAGACAGCTCATTTCTCAACTTACGTTGCAGCAGAGGATGTTCATGCATGATCACTCACATGAAACACATCGTACACATGCTGACTTTCATGCCATACATCAGATTACTCCACCTGCTGTTTTTCTCCGACGGGTTTGTGTCCGCACTTTGGAAGGCAGGGAAGCACGTCTCCACACGCTTGACTCCACAGATATTTTACATCAGATTCAGTTTCACGAAACTGCAAACTTGCTGCTTCAGCTGGACCAGTGGATCTCATCTCAGGCGTACTCACCACCATTGACCTTGCGCTTCCAGTGTCGTACCTGCCTTGGTGACTTCCCGAGTGCTGCTACCCTGGCTCGTCATGAACAAACGACCCATGGTAGAAGTCATGCTAGACTAGTTCCATTCAGGCTGCAACGAGACGCTCTTGCTGGCCTCCCTCAGTGTCGCCATTGTGACAAAACATTTGGGTCGTGGACCAATCTTCGGACCCATATTGAATTTCTCAACTGTCCCATGTTTGATGGCACTCAGGTCCTTGACATGGAAATGGAGCAGATTCAACGCCGCATCGTTCCTTTGGTGCAGGATCCAAGTTTGCATGAGCTCACACAATCACAGGATTTGTGCAACTACATGCTCACGCACTGCTGCCTATGTGGTAAACATCAATCACGGTTCTCAGACATGATTCATCACCTTCAATTGGCCCACGGCAACATTGCACTGACGAGTCAACTGTTATATCGTACGTGGAGTTCCAATCGACGTTCACCGTGTGATGTTTGTCAGGTTCAGTATAGCACCTCTCACCAGTGCAAGATCCTTCTTCAGGCTGCAGTCATTCACCAATGGCATCGATTCTCCACTGAGGTACCTCGACCACATGCCCAACCTGGACAAGCTGATCGGCCGCCAGAGGACCATGTCTGCCTTCACTGTGCTGATCTTTTCCCCACCAGGGCAGCCCTTGAGCAACATCTACGAAATGATCATCCTCGGTTCTGTTGCTCTCGAGACACGATCCATGGGACCACGGTGTGTCGCCATTGTGGCAGCCATTTTGGGGAGCTCTGGGAACTCAGACGGCACATTGAACGTGGGTCTTGTGATCAGCTGGATCCACTCGGTGACCAGGAACTTGGCACGGTTCTCCGCAGCGATGACTACTTCATGCCCCTGATCCAGGCTGGCAAATGGGGGGAGGCCGTCCGTGAGTCAGCTATGAGACACCAATTGACCATGATGTGTTCCTTCTGTGGTCAAGCCTACTCTCGAACGGCCGACTTGGTACGGCATCTTCAATGCCATCACGGGGGATTCTACAGAGAGGCAGATCTCATGAGCAATTTGGTGGATGAGGCCAAGATGACATGCATTTGCAATCCATGCAGGATCCCTCAGCCAAGATCTCACAGATGTCCCGCTTATCGACAACTGGCCATGCTACAATACTTGCTGGACCCCAGACATCGGAAGCTCATTCTTCCCTGGACCATCTCTCCAGACACCCTGCACAAGTTGATCCAGCTCCATGCCGCTCTGCATGCACAGGTTCCTGCTCTTGCTCCATGGCTTCAGTGTCCGGGCGAGAACTCCTGGGAATTCCTTCTTCGCGACAGCCAGATCCTCAGCACCACATGTGCATTGTGCTCTCGCAACTTTGAGACCAGCATTCAACTGTTTGAACATCTTCTTCAACAGCATCGATCTCAGAGTGGCCACAATGGCTTCCTTCTCCATGTGCTCTACCGTTTTCTCTTGGCTCAACGGCCTGCCTTGTGTGATCCACTTCCATGCCCTTGGTGCCATACAACTCTCAAGGACTATGCCTTAGAGGACGACAGTGTGTGGGCTCTTCTCACACACAAGTGTGCACCACTCCTCAACCTTGGGTGTGCTTTGACGTGGCTTCGCCCTGATCATCAGGATGGACGAGGTGATGGCAGTTCAAGAAGGAGACAGGCTGAGTCAGGTGGGCCTGGCATTCTTAAATATGCTCGCATCACCGGAAGAGCTGGAGCAGGACCTTCCTCAGGAGAAGCGCCAAAAGCGAGAAGTGGCCCTTCAGTCCCTGCCACGGAGGAAACATCAGAGGCCATCCTCTCCTCACAGCAGCTCGACCTCATCCACGAGAAGCGAAGAGAGTGGTCAGGTCGTGAAATTATGCAGGTTGATGGGGCAACTTCTGATCAGGCACGAGGACTCCCTCAACTCGGTCTCTATGCAGGACTCGTTTGTGCTGTTCTTCCAACAGGGGAACTCCGGAGTCTTGCCACTCCTGCTTCGCACAGCAAAGCAATGGCACGACCTTCCTGCCGACCAAGCCATGATCCCCCTGCGCTCCTACTTGATTCAGGCTGTGATCAACGAGTTGACCAACAGGTTCCAGAAACTCAAACTCCAGCTTTCCGACGACTCCACCAAGCAAGCGGCGATCAAGAGCCTGACCATCCTGGAAGACTCCAGCTTCCCGCATCTCATATGGCACCACCAGCACAAGCGCCTGGTCATCTGTCAGACGGCTCCCATCTCCTGGTCCAGCATGGAGACACACTTGGGCATCCTTCAGCAAGCATTCTTGGAACCGACCAACTGTGTCCGCTTTTTCGCGATGGCCTCCCAGCAGAGTCGGAGCGAGGTCGTTCCTTGGAAATTGCAGATATCCATGCGCAACGATTCCCTCTCGAGCCTCTTACGCCAGTTGACGGGATCAGCCCTGTGGCATCTGATCGGTGCACGCCTGAAGCAACATGGACTCCAGAGGTCCAAGCTGGCACAAGACATTCAGATGGTCCTGCGACCTCAAGGGGGGAGGAAATGAAGAGGAAATGGATGGAGGATCTGTGCAACTTGGCTTGCACCAATGACTCCAACTGGTGCTACGCCAATGCGGGCTTGATATCCCTGCTTTGGACCTTGGTGCACTCAGCCTCCTTCAATGAATATACCTATGGTCACATTTGGACCGTCACACAGGGGCTGCTTCGATCCACAAGGGTGGATGAGACAATTGCTCTGCATCGCCATCCGGCTTTGACAGATCTCTTTCAGGGGACACCCTCTGGGGAACAGAGGGACATCGCCGAGTTTGTGAGTGAGGTCCTGGCTTGGTGTCGTACTACCCAGATCTCTCAAGCTTGGGAGCGACGCTTTGAGAACTCAGAAGGCTGTCACTGCTATGAAGCAGGCAGTGATTTTCAGCCTGTAGCGCTGGTCCACCTCTACGAACTAGATGCGGAAAAATTGACCTGCCCGATCTCCTGATTCCATGGCTGGAGTGCCATTCGATGGCAACAGCGTTCACACATCATGGGGGCTTGAAAGTCTTCTTTTTGGATCGTTTGATAGACTCGACTCGGCTGTTAGGTCATTTTCATCACGTGGAGTTCATGGAGCCCTTTTCGCTGCCGATCTTCCTTCGCGATGGTCTGGCCCGCAGCTGGGTCTCTCATCGTGTTGTGGCAGTGGTGGCTCATTTGGGGAATTCGCTTCAGGGGCACTTTCGCGCTCTTTTGCTAGATCCCATTACTGGAAAGAAGTGGCTATGTGATGACAATGAACGACCTCAGGAAATCATGGTCATCCCTGAGTACTTTCACACCCGAGGTGTCCTGTTCTGGACCCTGCCATGTCAGGACCTGGATTTGGAAGACTCGGAAGCAGATGGTATGCAAGGATTGACTCCTTCCTCCGTCCCTTTGAACCTAGGTCATGAGACGCTTGGAACTACTTGCCCTGCGCCCACCCATGACCAGGCCATCACGGCCTCACCTGAGGAGGAAGCGTCTTGGGAGCCTCGGCCTTTTCTTGAGGGGCTGACAGCTGCGCATCCTAGCTTGGACTTGGATGCACCTGGACCCATGCTTGGTTTGCCTTTGAGAGATGATTCTGAGGGCCGTGCCTTGGAGAATAGTTCCAGGAGTGATACCGCCACTTGGCCTCAATCTCATGCAGTGCAGGAAGTTGCCCCGAGCCAACCATTGGAAGAGGACAGTGCCTTGGGTGAATTACTTCAGCGCCTGCAAGACGCTGATGCCTCCATCACCCGCGCCTTGGCTGCGGGACCTGCGCCCCTTGCTGATGAGTGAGCCTGCGGCTGCCGCGCGGACCTGCAGCCGCTCCTGAGAGGGGGGGGGGAAAAGTCATTTGTTTGACTGACTGTTTTTCCTTTAGCGAATTTTGAAGTGCTGTGATAGCTTTTCCGGTTTTCTTTTCCGGCGCTGATCACTTGTAGCTAGAGGATGGTTGAAGTGCCCCTGGAACCTTGGGCCACTGACTTTAGGTCGCTTTCACCTTGACTCTACACGTTTCCCGAGGTCAGGTGATAAATTTAATTGCTTGTGACATCCAAACGATCTCCGATCATATGATCCTGGAGTCCGGTCAACAAGGCATTGACCGAAGGGCGGCGCTACTCTCTCCCTGAGTGCGTGAGAAGAAGAAAGTTGTTGTTGTTGTTGTTGTTGTTGTTGTTGTTGTTGTTCTTGTTCTTGTTCTTGTTGTTGTTCTTGTTGTTTGGTTCCATCCGGACAACAATTCTTGCTCCAAAAAGGTAGATTCTTGCATGCACCTAAAACTGTATGCATTGAGTTTCTTACTTTTTCTTTGCAGAACACAACTGGAATTTTAGAACACAAGGCTGCAACATGACATTCTATGGTGCCCAAATGTTGGGAAACGGCAATTCTGACCACTTGAAATGATCAGAAACCACACATGTCAAACATCTCTGTCGGTCTGGCTCACAACAGAGGGATTCGGATGTTTTTTTTCCATGTCCAGTTTGGACTTGAATATGCGACTCAACTATACTCACTTGCCCAGTTTGGCAAATCACCTGCGCACCTGCACGCCAAGCTCATTCTCGAAGGCGCGCAAAGGAGACGCAGTGTAGTTGGCCCAGTCACCCCATGCACTTCCAGTCAGACCATCCTGCACGCTATCACTTTGAGAATAATGCCACGCAAACATTCAAAAAACAATAAACTTAGGATTTGGAAGTTGACTGCTGTTTTGCATTCACGACAGTAGATAATCACACCTTTTGCAACCCATGAAGGACCCAAAGAAGGTATCACAGCAAATACAAAAAAAAACAACCGGTTCATATGTTTTTTCTGGTAAACCTTTGTACACGTGAGACAAGCACCTGGAAGAACATCCCGATGATGGCCATCATCGCAAGGCGGCCATTGGCAAGTTCGGCACTAAGTTTTTTGGTCTTCTCAGCAGGATCGGATGAGGTCAAGACCTTGAAGCCAAAATCTCCAGCAGCCGCAGGTGTGCCAGGAGACTGATCCTGGGAAACCTCGCAGAATGCCATGTAGGCCAAGATCTGTCCCCAACCTGCTGCAGGCACCTTGGAGATTGCTGCAAGTCCGTTTGGCACGTCGGCAAATTTAAGACCGGCCGATGGGGACAAATAGCCTGGGAGCTTGCCGGTGATCCTTGGTCAGGCACCAACTGATACCACACATTTAACATCAAGTTCTACAAGCATCCACATGCAAGCAGTAGAGCCAGACCTATTCACTTTGCAGTTGTTGCTCCACAAAAAACACTCAAAGATTGAACATTGTGCATTGATGCTAGAAAAAAGTCGTCGCTGTAAACATGGCCCACACGTTTCCAACAAACCCGTCGTTCAAGTAGGAGTAGGAGTATGGGAGTAGGAGCAGGAGTAGGAGGAGTAGGAGTAGGAGTAGTAGGAGTAGTAGGAGTAGTAGTAGTAGTAGTAGTAGTGGTAGTGGTAGTGGTAGTGGTAGTGGTCGTAGTAGCAGTAGTAGTAGTAGTAGTATGAATGGTAATAGTGGTAGTAGTGGTAGTGGTAGTCGTGGTGGTGGTTATTGAAAATCTCTCATAAACCAATTCTGTAAAGCCAAAAGGCCACTATATGATTGAGGATGGGATTTTATTGAAAAACAAGTATATATACTAATAAAATCCCATCATTGAAGAGATTATAGGAGGTAGCCGATGGCCTTCGTTTCTTTTATATATTAAGTTAAGGAAACGAATGCGAATAAAGTATGGGCAACACCACAGAAGTGGTGGTCATCTTGCCATTCTTCTTATATATTCTTGGGTTGCTCTAATATTAACTATATATATAATAACTAAAATCCCACATTAAAATACGAAGAACAACCCATAGAATGACAAGATGATATTGTTCATTGCATTTTTGCAACAAGAGAACCCCATAGCAAAAATCCATACTACATTTCTTTTTCTTTCTGTCTTAATATTTTTGGTCTCGTTTACGCTGTCCTCAGGCGTAGATTGAAAAAATTGAAGAAAGAGAGACCAAAAATATGATGATGACGTATGACCCAACCTTACAGACGCTTCCACAGGGCAAGAGCAGGGGGCCCCAGTAGTAGTCGTATTCGTCAAGCGGCGAGGGTAGCGCCATACCTGCCCATCAGAGAACATGCCGCTAACAGCGGCCAAGCTGAATCCAACCATAAAGGTCTCATCAGTTTGCTCTAAGGCACCGCTCTCAGACGCTGCAAAGGTACACAAGAGGACCCAGGGCTTGTCATCAGGAGGTGGGCGGTTGGCGTTCGCGAGGCTGTGAATGGCCTAGGAAGCGTCAAATGCCCGAAGGGCCCGAACACTCTCCTGGGTCGCCGGGAAGGGAGTTGCCTGGTCTTCGCACTGGAGAAGCACACGGTACATGCGGACCTTGAGGGGTGGGCCACGGTCTGCAGTGCCATTGGCGACTGCGGCCTTGCCACCGTTGTAGTCTGCCAGTTCGGCAGCGAGCGCTGCCTTGGCAGAGCCGCTGGCGAAGAACACCAGCTGAAGCTCAGCCCGTAGGGCTGCCACATCTTGGGCGGTCTGCCGACAACGCCAAGACGCCGCTCCATTTGGTCAACGCGGTCCTTTGTATGATTAAGGTCATCCCGAGCCCTCTTGAAGTCTTTCATCGCAAGTCTGGAAGTGGACTTCTTCGGATCATCGAGATCCATAGTCCCGGGACCAAAACTCGTCCTCGTCTCATCGCACTTGGTATCGAAAGCAAAGCTCTGCCAAGCCCATTGCTCATCGATCCTAGGATGCGACGTAAAAGACGGTGGACCAAAACTCCAAAACTGTTCAGCGGACGTACACCTACAGTGACACCAAACCAGGGGTGGCACCAGGGCAGTTACCAAGAACAACCCGACCCAAATTATTAACGAAACGAAAAGGGGGAAAACAGCAAAGAAAAGAACACGAACCACGTCACGTAAGCAGCACAAGGAACATGTTACACACAAGCCAAGGACCTCTTCCTGCCCGGGCGGTACCGGGGCAGGTGTCAAACCCACCGGACGGAACCGATGGGCGCTCAAGTGGTGGGCAGAACCACCACATAACACGGTCCTGGAAATCAAAAGACAACTAAGAAAAGGTACTAATGCGCCAGAAAACGCGCTTCTGCTGCCGGCCATCCTCGGCCGACAAGGCGCTGGCGCGTCTGTCTGCCGAGCGCTTATAGAGGGGCCTCGCCCACCTCCCTCGGCATTGGAGCGAGAGCCGGACCCTTTGGAACCTCCGCCTTTGCCGCCCTTCCAGAACTGCCGAATTTCATCCTGACTGAGGCCTTCATCCACAAGAACCCTGCGAAGCACGGGCGACGGTTGGAACCGTGCCGGGCGTATGCCACATGGAGGATAGTTCCCGCCTTGCTTCTGGCAGCAAGTGCGAACACTTGGCGAGAGGCATAATTCACGTGCCTGATGCCCACCTGCTGTGTTAAGCACCCACGGTCGGTCGTCCTCAGGCATAGTGAAAACAACTCTCCACAGCGGCCCGATCAACGAGGTCCAAAAGCTGCTTCGGCTCTCCTTCGAGGCCCTGGTCTCACAGCTTTGAAAAGCTGGTATTTGAGGGGAGGTGGTCGGTCACCCGGAATCAACTAGAATTGTTCTTTTCCAGCTGCTGGGACAGAACAAACGCGTCTGGAATTGATACTTCTGGAAACCTCAAAGATTTGGTTTCTGCAAAATTGTTGAAGGAAGGCCAGGACTACAAAGGAAGTGCATCACAGTGCTTGGATGTTTTACCATTGCTGGGTTTTTTTGCAATCGAAATGTTGGATAATTGTGAAGAGGTGCGACCACATGTCAGATCATTGATTGCGTTGTGGAGAGTGACGTCCCATATTCTAAACGCAAAGAACTGCATTGATACAATACACGGACTCCAAAAGCTGCAGCAAGCACACCTGGAACTCTTCATCACGTGTTACACAGCTGACAAAGTTCGTCCCAAACACCACTTTGCAAGTCACATTGAGCAGCAAGCCTTGGATGCTGGCATTTTGTTGGATTGTTTCCCTGGTGAGCGGAAGAACAACACCTTCAAACATGTGCTTTGTCCTCGCATCAGTCGTTTGGAGGGTTTTGGGGCGAAATTATCCTTCGAGCACAGCTGGACTCCTCATCGACAGAGAATGTGCGCGTTGCAAGACATGTGTTTTGCTGCTGGGGTGATATTAAGGCTGGAAATGTGATGATGATGGATGAACATTCGGCTATACAAGTCTTGGGATGTGTGCAAGAAAAAGTACAAACAGGCAGTGGCGTTGAGGATAGAATCTCAGTTGCAGGAGTCAAACTACGCTTCGTGGCAGGAGGACCCAAGAGCTCCATGCTTTGGAGCCGTTGGGCCAAAACAAAGGATGACCTCATTGTACCACTACAAGCTCTTCAAACGGCATTGAGAACTACATTTTGTAGCAAGGATGCAAATGAGATCATCATCCTGCGATGAAAAAAATTGCGGTCATCACCGCAGTTTGAAACGGTTCTTACCGTTATTTTATATATGCGGTGATTACCGCATGCTTTCATATATGCGGTGATTACCGCGCATTCAAACAACTCTTTGTATATGATATTCAGGTGTACATACATATGTATATAAGTATAATAAATTTGTGAAACAGTGTCTAAATATATGTTTTCAAATGTGTTATGTGCGGTTTATATATCGAAAAATGCAGTTTCTATCGTCGATGATGACAGCGCAATCAAACCTTTTGTGTATACACGTATTGTAAGCAAATATAATATTTAATACTTAAATGACATTTGCATATCATATCATATATACTATATATCTCTATCGTGTGTACATGTATTATCCTATATACTATTTATAGCAATGAATCGTCAACCTATATTATACAAATAACAGTCATCATACACATGTAAACATATATATACAAAACAAATAGTTTGCAGAATATTCTTTGTTTTACTTTCTGCGGTGAGGACCACATATCAGCGGCTCAAATCAAAGAACTTGAAATTTGGTCATGTTTTTGAAAAAATCACGTCACACTGACTATGCATTGTATTTTTGCTTCGGCTTAGCATGAACACCTTAGTAAGTTAAAATCCAATGAGCCAATGAGTCTGAAAATTCAACAATGGCTTTTTGTACACTTTGGAGCTCAACAATTGCAATTTGCAAACATTAAAGAAATCAATGTTTTTTACAGTTACAAAATTTACGGTATAACTTTTTTAGTTTTTTCTAAGTGACTTATAAGTACTTAGCAAATCAAAAGTGACACCTAAGTACCCTAGCGTTAAAGTCACCAAGCAAGATCAATTCATCCTTTACAGGAACGGCGTCCAACATGGAGGCTAAGGATTTATAGAAATCGTCCCTTTCATAGTCCGAACAATTAAACGTGGGCGCATATAGCAAGAGATGCGGGAGAAGAATCGGCCACGAAGCAGGATCCGAATCCGAAGTAACCGTGGACCACCAAATTCACACAACTCACCCGCAGCTTGCCAGGCCCGATGGAGAGGCCGATTCAACAAAAAACCAACACCCTTACACGCCATGTCAGCATGTGGTACCCCCGAATAAACAAACGTCCAGTCCGAATTAACCTTAGGTAACATCCAGTATCTTTCCAGCGATGCTCAGAGATAGCGCAAAGTGATAAGTTCTGACGAGAGAGTTCCGAACAAAGATCCATGAGTTTCTGAGGTTCCTTGCCAAGTATCTGAAGTTCCCCGTTAGCATTTACTATCAATTGAGAATTCAGCGAACGAACGTTCCAAGCCCCAAATGTAAATTTGGTGTACTTTGACCGCCAACCACACCGAGGCAGTGTCCAGCTGTCCGTCCGTCACTAGTGGCAGAATCGGTGAAGTCGACATCGATCGGTTAGATATATTCCGTGCGCAAGCAAACTATGTCGGGACGCCGGCTTGCTAGGCCGACGCCCCCATCGGGGGGAAATTTCACGGTGGGTTTCTCCCGGCCACCACGGAGAGGTGGAGGTACGACTTTGGCCGGGTCATCGCAAGTCGTGGTGGTAGGATATCGCCCAAATCGGGCATTCCTTCGTACACTCCTGCAAAACACCAAACCGAGTGAAACTCAATAGTACGCAGACACGAAACGTGCCTGAACGTCAGCCCACCTAGTAAAC